TATACTAAAAGCTCAATAATGCTGGCAACAAATTAGATATAAATACAATCGATGCTAAAACACCAAAAAACCAAAATACATAGACTAAAAAGATTTGTACCCATGTGATACACTTGTTTCACTTGTTTAAACAAACATGTTACACTTGATGTACAAAGGGTTTTTTTTAGTTGAATAAATTTTACATTCTTTTCAAAAAGATGATATTCACTTGGTAAATAAAAATAGTGAAGGCTGTTAAAAATTATATATATAACTAATGATGTCTACATTTCAAGAAAAGCATATTTTTAACAACTTGTAATCACAACCCAGCCAAGAAAATTCCAAAGAACTTGAGAGATTCCAAAGGAGATTCAAAAGAACTTGAGAGACTACAACCTCTATGCGAAGAAACAAGGACTCTCATCTCTTCACTTAACCCCTAAAAGTAAAAGAAAAAAAGAAAAACCAATTTTGTCTATTAATTTGTTTAATTAATATCACTCTTCAAGTTATAAATATATTTTCATAATTGTAGTGTAGGTGGACACTACGTATATACAATTATACATCAATTAAGCAAGTTCACTTATGTTAGATCGAAGTCGTTATCGTTAGGTAATACAAACCAAAAACGTCTAATTAAATACATATATAGCATGCAACCGCAAAAAAATATTCTCTTAACAACCCCCGAATTGCTTTAATTAATTGTTGCATGTTAGGTTAGCAAAAAAAAAAAAATTTGTTGCATGTGTCAAGAATGCAAACCCACATCTTATAATAAATGTATACTACTATAGTTTAAACTTTAAACCAAATATCCATCAGATTTCTCCAACAGAAACTTAATCTACCGACCAATAACATTAATTTAAGACCGAGTTTAAAGGCAAACCCACCAGCCCATATATCAGGAGTTAAAGATATACAAGTGGTATTTGCAATTTTGAAGCAAACACACATGTTTGTAACAAGAATTAACAAAAAGAAATGGGTCAAAAAGAGCTTCCTATGAACGTGAGAAACGACAACGTAAGTGAAGAAACAAAGATACTGATCTCTTCACTTCCTTTAGACAAAGATTCTCAAGGGAATCTCTGCAAGTACCAAGGATGTTGGTATTACTACAACACTCTCCAAGCAGTCATCAATTTCCAGCTTCAAGAGACCGATATAATTCTTGCTTCTTTCCCAAAATCCGGCACAACTTGGCTCAAGGCACTCTCGGTCGCGCTCTTGGAGAGATCTAAACATGATGATCCGCGGACTCATCCTTTGTTATCCGATAACCCTCATGGCATAGTACCATTCTTCGAAAACGATTTGTATCTCAAAACCTCAACACCAGACTTAACCAAGTTC